AGTTAAAGTACCTATTAACTTCGCAAAACTTTATATATAACTTTAGCAATCCTAGCGAAACTTTATGTCATAATGGTACGTTTGTTATTATGACATTTGTAACCACGATTGTATAAAATGCACCGGTAATGCAATAACTTTCTACAACTGTCGCGAATCATATATCGACAATTCTCCACATTGAACAACAAATAAGTAAATATTTCTTGTTCTTTTTAACAATGTTAGTTGAACATTGTGAAACATGTATTTATTTAAATTTTAATGCTATAACTACACACGAGAACACGTTTATTGTAAACTTTTTAGTTTAAACAAATTTCAATATTACGATATATTTAAAAAGCGCTTTAGCTTTTAAACATTGCAAGATAAAGAACTAATTTTATATGATATTATTTATAATATTATTATCACAAATACATATTATTACAAATTGTTTCTTTAATAAAACATATTAGTGATGTTCTCGCTGTAATATTTTGTAACTATTTTGGAATTTTTTTACGTAAATTTAATTAAAATATTTACTTTAATAACCAAATATTTTGAATTTTGGTCGTTAAACAAGACTTCACAATTTTGCAGGGAATCAAAGATTTTTAATAAAAAGATTCACAAAAGGTAAAACACAATAACTTTTTGGAAAATGTAATTAAGTAAAAAAATATTATTATATGCTTATTATCAAAGACACACTTGTGATGATACACTTTATCTTTTTAATATTTTTGAAGATTTTGTCAGCAGCAGAAAAAAACCGTAACGATTTTTGTTCCGAAACATTTTCTCGATTGAACAGAATCAATCGTTAACTCAATACCAATAAGCCCGCAGAATGATACGTAAAATGAAGTAACAGTCACTGAACAAAGTAATTTGAAATATTAGGTATAGAATTTTCAACTTCGTAGGGGGGACAACGAACTCTCAACGTTCATTGTTGTTTTTCTCCTTGAGCGGAATCGTACGACGTTACGCGGGCCTTTGTTTACGTGAAGGTCGCCGCACTAATTCGCTCGCCGAACGTCGAACCGGCAGGTAGCGACGAGAGTCGCTCCGTGCGTCTTATTAATTTTGTGTTATCGGTCTCCAAAACGCGATCACGATAAACGTGGGGGTAAAACGTTATTGATTTGTACACGTTTATTAGTAATAAATAACGTTCATCGATTAATTATTACAACTTGTAATTTTTGCACGTTTAAGCGGCGGCTTTTATCAACGTAGATTTCACGAGAGCAACTCATTAAAAATATGAATGTAAACCGTGGTACTTCGTCGCGATTACATCTCGTTTACGCACCGCGCTTTTAATTATCTGTCGATTTCGTATAATCTGTTCAATTTTCGGGGCAAAAAGAAAGAAATTTGTGCGGTTCTGGCGTTTGCACTGTAATTCGCTCTGTCGTTCTTCGCGACTCGAACTGGCACGAAGTAGATAAAGTCGCTTATCGCACGTCATTACATTTACATTATGTAAATGTAATCGAAAATAATCTCGATTAACTATTGCAATTAATAACAATTATTTGCCGCTGGAAATTTCGCTCACATTATTCACTTCGAGGATTAGATTGAATAGCAATAAAGATTGTAAAATATCGTTTCGTTGCGGACTAATAACTACTTATTTACCGCGGATTATGCTTGGATTATACTTGGATACCGTTACTCGCGTTGCGTTTTATATCGCTAATTTAAAAGTGATTCATCTACTTCTTCCTAATCAAAAATGCAAGTTGTTAACTTGAATAATTTGTATAGCAGAAGTCGCGCGATATTTGTTCATACTTTTTCGTGGGTTCCGTTTCTCCATGGTATTTCACATCGCGTAGGGAAATGTCCAAAATTTCGCGCGATAATTTTCGCGAGTGAGTGCTGCGTAAGTGCAACAAGGACATTTGAGAGGAGGAGGAGGCTTGGGAGACATCGGGCAACGGCAGAACAATCACGAGGTGAGTGTTTTACATTTTTATATTAATTGCTACTCGTACAAAATAAAGCATCTGTTCTCTGTTTTTGTTTTATTTGTTCAAATGATTCAAACGAGGATTCAAATAAGTGCTAAAGACAAAAATATACGTCTAAAATTTGGTGAGTTTATATTTAAAAGGAAGACTCTTTTGAACATTTTACAATTATTTTCCGATTAAATTGTATGTGATCGGTGATCGGAGATGTGATCGGTTTTCAATCAAGTTTCATCGGTAACTGCATTTCATCGGATAAATTTCATCGGATGTATCCATAATTTAATCGGTAAAATTAACCATCGGAAACGCTGTTTAATTTGGTTTCATTATTAATTTGGTTTAAATTGGTTTATCCGATGACAAATTTTCTCAGTGTGTAGTTACTTAAACAGCTTACGAATTATAATACTTTGAAGACTTTGAAATTTGCATGAACTTGAAAATTTCAATAGTGATGGTTAATATTGAAAGTTTATATAAACACATGTCATAGTATTAAGTGGTCATTCCGTTTTAACGGCCCCAAAACTATGCTCATCTTTAACAATTGTTTTCACAGTAAATACACCATACAATAAAATTAATCTTTTTGGGACTTATTAGGGCACTCTTAAACAACACAAAAAAATGTTTGTCATAATTTAAACAATTTTTTAATTAAGCGTTTTCTACACCGTTCGAATGGCGTGTCAAAAAAGATGCAAGTCCGCTGCGTTGATGCCACTTTTATCATTAAGGCTTACCTGAAGCAATTAATCAACAAGATTCTTAATCTATATGAGTGTCGCTATGTCCTGAACCTCAATTAATAATTTTTATTTAAGAATAACAAAATGATGGCGGTTTGAAAAAAGTTTGAAAAAGAGCTTTTTCCAAACTGGCACCATTTTGTTATTTTTAAATAAAAATTATTAATTGAGGTGCGGAATGTTTCAGGTAAGCCTGAACGATAAAAGTCATCAACGCAGCGGATTGGCATCTTTTTTGACGCACTATTTGAACGGTATAGAAAACTCTTCATTAAAAAATTGTTTAAATTATGACAAAAATTTTTTTGTGTGATTTAAAAGTGCCCTAATAAATCCCAAAAAGATTAATTTTATTGTATGGTGTATTTGTTGTAAAAAAATTGTTAAAGATAAGCATAGTTTTTGGAGCCGTTAAAATGGAATGACCCCTTGAACAATATCATGTAAAACTATGAGAGACTTAAAAAGAAAACTATCCCTCTATTTCACATGGAACCCCCATGTATGATTTAATCTTATAATGAGAGAGTATGAATGAATCAAGCGTTCCTAAATTGTACTCTCGAAAATACGATGTGGGTGCGCTCCACTTATTAGCCTCGCCTCGTAGCCGGGGGTCGTTAATTATATCAATTTCGGCGGACGTTAATGAACGCGTGCGTACGCGACGGTTAATTCAAGCCAATTTTGCTCGCGAATTTGAATGCAGGTCGGCCGTGTCGCCGACATTGTGTCATATCCAATTAAGAACGATTTTCGTTAGAGAATCGGCTCTCGCATACCGTCACCAACGACAGTTAGACGCGCAGTTTCTCTCGTATGGCCATGCGAGAAGGAGATCGAGAAGTAAAACTGAATGATAGATCTTTAACTGAAAGACGTTTCTACGAGCTTTTAATTTTAAAGGACTTGCATTGTGTTTGACTACTTCCTACAGTGTTTCTTGTATTTCGCGTAGTGCTTCTTGTACTTCAATTTATTGTGCAGAGAAAAACCCCATGGAAAGCAAATATATACGCGCAGAGAACGTATGTCAAAAAATAATAGGATAAGTATTCTCTGGATTTTTCCGTACTTTTATCCTCAAACAAGAATATGTGGCAATAAAATAGTTACAGTTTGAAAAAATTCTCAGGGAAATTTTCAATATGTCATTAATCGACGAGTAAATGTTTTTTAGGAAACTTTGATCGATAAAACTACAGTTTCTTTTTCGTGATTCATTTTTGTGGGGAAAAGATAACTTTAGTTAGTAGCAATTTTCGGAAAGAATAGCTTTACAAACTATTTCCAATATTTTTCGCGAATCTTTTTAATTGTAAATATTTGTAGAATCGATCCCTGAATAATTAATTAAGAGAAAGATAAAAAAGCGAAGAGATGGACAGACGAAGGTCTATGTAGCGTGTGCAAACAATATATCGATAATTATATTTTGTTTGTCATCTTCTCCCCAAAACATGGATTTTCCACAAATATAAATTCATTAACACATTTTATGTCATTAGCAAATTATGATTACCTTGACCACCCTGAAAGTTGCGCGAAATCGAAGGACAGAGTTGATACAAGTGTCAAAAGCAATCGGTCGGATTATTGTCAATCGGGTAGATTGGAAAATTTCGCGTAGCACGGAAATTTTTCAGACGCGCAGCGATAAGAACATCGGCTATAAAAACATTGCGCGGGATTGCATATTCACACGATTGCGTTTTGCACCGTGATCGGCTTGTCGCTCGATATGTGGGTAGTGCGCCGATGAGGTAATCCGAGGACGAAAGTCACGAGAAAGTGCGAACAGGCAAGGTGGGCCTCGTTTGTACCTCGTAGCTCCATTTATACTGCTAGAGTTACTAACTTCAGAACACGAATTGTCCTGCTGCAAGCGTAACACGCCACTCGATCTCTTGAAAGCGTCAGGTAAAAATTTCATTTGCAATTTCACTTATGAATAGACGAAATTGTAGCATATAAGTAATAATTAATTAATCGAGGATGATTTGACTTTTGTGAAATTGTGCTCGTGTTAATCGCACAGTGAAATATCCACGTGTGCCAATAATTCTCATTGTCAGCGGTGAAACGCCGAGTCTTGCGTTTAGTAATCGGGATTTGCACGCGCGAGGCAACACGTGTGCATGCTGCGAGGTGGACCACGCATTAAGCTTACGTATCGAGTACGCTAGAGTGGATTATAGTGTGGCGCGGTGCACCTTTTAACTGCGATAATTTATTTCTAAGGAGTCACCGAGGGAGTTTGTATCGTCATTTATTGCCTGCGTCAAGCGCGTATAGATGTTATCTGCGTCACGGAAAATTGGAGCACAGAGGCCCATTTTGACCAATTATGCAGGTTTACCAATTATGCGTGTCGGAAGAGCATTTAATCGGTTAATCGTATTGTTATTCGTACACTGAGAAAAAATGTCCGATTAAATATAATCGGATAATCCAATTACGTAATAACAAATCCAATTATATCCAATTAAATTGTACATCCGACGAAAAATATGATCGGTTTTTCAATCTAATTTTATATTAAATTATACTAAATTCATCGGTAACTGCATTTCGTCGAATAAATTTCAGCGGATGTATCCGCAATTTAATTGGAAAACGTAATCGGGAAAAATTAACCATCGGAAACACACTATTTAATAGGTTTGTCCGATGAAAATTTTTCTCAGTGTACTATTGCAGAGCAAACTATTTCGACTGTGATTTTGTTTTCAATTAAACAAGTAGCGGAATACAGAATAATCCTCTCTCCTCGCAAATAGGCGATGAACGTGATTGCTTCGAAGCTGCGATTCAAGATAAAAAATTATGCGTATACGTCGTCGATTTTCAAAGTGTTCCGTTCAAGAAAATTGTTTAACTCCACGTTAATTTTTCATACTCCGAGTACCAGTTATCGACGGGTGTCTCGTTAATTTTATAATTTTTTTCGCGATTTTTTAGGTGTTTGAAGGTCGACCGTCCGCTTTACGCTTTGCGTAAAGTATTTGAGAGCCGGCGGAGGGTAGCGAGTTAAACTACGCGGTATCCCTCGTGTTCACCCCAACAATGGGCAGCAGCAAAGTCGAAAGCCGACCGAAAGGCGGCGCACCTCGACTGAACGCAGCATCAGCAACGTTATCGGAGTCACTTCGTCGTGGCAACGTAGTTTCCGCACTGCTCTGCTTTGCCTGCGGCGCCTGCTTTGTCCTCAGTTTGATTTGTACCTGCCTGGCGACATTGGTCGTTTTACTGGATCATTCCGTTGAGGCAGCAAGCTACGTTCGACACGGTGAGAGCACTGATAAATTCAACTACTATCAGTAGCAAAGTGGAGTAGAGTTCTACAGCCGGAAACTGTAACGCTCCGGCATTAATATTGCGTCGCGTTTGCTAATTTACTTATCTCAGATCCGTAAATTTTCGAAAGAGCAGAGATTGTTCCGCAAGAAGAGCGAGAAAACCTCGCGAAGTACTACTTGGAACGTATTCCAAGTGTGTTCAACGAAAGTTTACTCGGCGCATTTCTGTTGAGTGACGAGTTGTATTGAATTGTGATCGGTTTAATAGAAAAAATTCCGACTGGCTGATTCGGCGGAAAAATTCCATGTAAATTCGGTGAGTGACTGTGGTCGATCGCAATGTGATTAAAAGGGACGCTCCCGTTTGTACTTCGTCAACTCGGCCAGCAACGTGACAAGAACGTGACAAGCTTCTCGCGTATCTCGTACGGACATTGTGATTGGCGGTAGATTTAAAAGTGTTTCTGCAGATTTCAGATAGTCTCAGTGGAATCAGCACAGCGAGGCAGCTTCTTCTCGACGTATCAGAATTGCCGGAGTCTTTCTCTAAAGAAACGCATCACGTTTACGCTAATTCTGAAAAACAATTAATACTAGCAAATCTCATCCGAACGACTTGTCGTCTCAATACAGTTGAAAAGATATAACAGATTATGTCTGTCGCTAAGAGCACTGTGTTCGCAAGCTGGTAATTAGTTGACGCTGCGCGAAAGTAACGTTTTCACGTGTCTGGAATTTATCAAACTCTTAAATTTATTCATTGAAATAAAAGCATAGCTTAGGGTCCCGTTGTTCCAACCTCTTGGTAAATTGACTAATACTTAAATCATACGTACGTCTTTGTTTTTCCTTTAAATCAGACAAGGATATAATTTAACTATCAGTTAGCCTGCCAAGAGGTTGGGGCAACCGGCCCTAAGACAACTAGATATCGAAAAACTATTAGATACGAACTACATTAGGTAGAATACTCTTTGAACAGATAAACCCGACTGTTGTCAAGTTTACTGTCTTAAGAGCTTAGATCTCTCAACATCGAAAATGGCCGTGGCTGGTTTTCGATATTGAAAGTTCGATTATCGACACGTAGACGCGTATGTAAGTTTACAAACTATGAATTTGAATTCGCATGTTGCGATACTCCGATTCTCATGTTAAGTTGTTAGCGAAGAAAAACACGTGTCCGAAATCGGGCGAATACGTTACATGCGCATTCTATTACAAATATTTGTTTCGCTGACAATCCATAATGATGCATCGCTTTTCAAAGATATTTCATGGTCGCTTCGATTTGGTTACAGCTCTTCTTTCAGCTTAATCGGAAGATAACCAATTTTCGCTGTCGACGTACATCGCGGGGAATTAGAATTCGTTCTCTTGTCGGTTATATCAGTATGTGAGATTTAATCAAAGATAGTAACAGACAGATAAAGACTGCGATTTCTAGATTATGCGTTAATATTTATCTGCCCGATACGTGACATTTATTCTAGATAACTAGAGATAATTATTACAGGCGTTAATTTTGTTTGCAGACTCGAGTAAACCAGAGGCGTATACAACAATGTCTAATCCAGATGACAGCTTCAGATTGCCAAAGGAAGTCGTACCTAAGCATTACGATCTTCTCTTGCATCCAAACCTTAAAGAGGGCACGTTTTCTGGAAAGACGACTATCCTTATTGATGTCCAAGACGACAGAAGAACCATAGCTCTCCATCGAAAAGATCTCAACATTACATCTGCGAAGCTAGTTACGTACGGCTTAGAGACAGACTACGAAATTGAGATCTCTAACATCAGCGAGCCTACAAAGTATGAGATCTTTGTGATATCAACTAAAACCGAGATTAAACGCGGGTTACATAACTTGAGCCTGGAATTTACTGGAAATCTCAGAGGCAAAATAGTCGGTTTCTACAGCAGCAAATACCAGTATGATAATCGAAAAATCAGGTAACATAAATTGATCATTTTACTAATAAAAGTAGTGCAAAAAATTGTGATAAAATTCGACCATGACAATAATGTGTCTCGTATATTTTTTTAATCGACAGGTACATCGCGACTACTAAATTCGAGCCAACTTATGCGAGACAAGCTTTCCCATGTTTCGACGAACCTGCCTTTAAAGCAGAATTTTCGATAAAACTGGTTCATCCTATGACTGATTGTTATAGTGCCTTATCCAATATGAATGTAAAGGTATACAAATCATTTCTGGCGATATTAATTGTCATTTCTTTCAGAAAATTATTAAACAGTTTATTGAAAAGTTATTTTCTTGCCATAGGAAATAGATGCGAATACACCGCAACAGGGGCTGGCAACAGTGTCATTTGAAAAAACTGTATCCATGTCGACATACCTAGCTTGTTTTATTATCAGTGATTTTGTCAGTACAAGCAAGATGGCAAAGGGTTTAAATGGTGAACAATTTCCAGTCAGTGTCTATACCACAAAAATTCAGCCGGAAGAAAAGAGAATTTTCGCAGTGGATATTGGCGTGAAAGCTATCGAATATTACATAAACTTATTCAAAATAAATTATCCATTACCAAAACTCGGTAAATATGCAACAAAAATTTACGAAGAGAGAGATCTGTTAATTAAAATAAAAAAAATTTGCCATTTAAAGGTCCCGGTGGATTTATTTTTAAGTACATACTATATAACTTTGTTTATTGTGCAGATATGGCCGGTATTCCTGATTTTATGTCCGGCGCTATGGAAAATTGGGGTTTAGTAACTTATAGAGAGTCAAGAATTCTTTATGACGAGTATGAAAACTCCATTTACGATAAGCGCGATGTCGTTAACGTAATCTGTCACGAATTGGCGCACATGTGGTTTGGAAATTACGGTAAATATTTTATAACAATGAATTGTAGTGAATAAAAATGTTATATGTACCCTTTCTTTTTCAGTTACCATGAAATGGTGGAATGATTTATGGCTCAATGAGGGTTTCGCTACATTTATGGCATCTAAATGTTCAGATGCGATTCTACCAAAACAAGGATATGTTAGTTCAATATGATCCGAAATTTTAATATGAATGAAACGTTGATGTAAATATTTGAAATATGAGAGAAAATCTCTGTAATATATGAATATTGTTTCCAGATGGAGGAATTTCCTGTTGAAGTAATGCAGAAGGTGTTCGTTTCCGATGCAAAATTGAGTTCTCATCCTATAGTTTACGACATCCAAAATCCAGATGATATCTCATCATTCTTTGATGGAATATCTTATAAAAAGGTACATGCGATTAAAACATAACACGTAATAATGGCCTTCGTACTTTTTATTTATAATTCTTTATCGTGTCTTATCTATTTACTCCAACTGCGATCTACTTTAGGGAGCATCTATAATTCGTATGATGGAGAACTTCTTTGGATCTGACGTCTTTTTCGGTTCAATTAGTACCTATTTGAATAAGTATGCCTTTGGGAATGCCGAGACGGCGGATCTCTTTAAGGTTTTGCAAGATTCGGTCGGAGACAAATTAGACGTCACAGCTATAATGGACACTTGGACGCGACAAGAAGGCTACCCTGTTATCAACGTGAGAAAGGAAGGAAACAAATTTATATTAACTCAAAAACGTTTCCTGGACGACCAAGATGCCAAATCTGATCCCTCAAAATCCAAATACGGGTGAGTTACTTTCTTTACTTTATCTCGAGGCAGTAATCGGCAAACATATTTTAAAATCATGTTACACCTTGCAGATATCGATGGACCATACCCGTAACTTATATCACTAACAAAAAATCGGTACCCACTCTTGTATGGTTCGACAAGGATAAGGACGAAGGTTTGAATTTATAATTTACAATTTTCTAATTTGCAATTTCTTTTTTGTACAAATTACGCCTGTACCTTTTTTGCTCTTATTGTAAAACGCTATATCTTACAGTTACAATTGAGGTCGCAGAAAACGTTAGATGGTTGAAATTAAATGCCGGCCAAGTTGGCTTTTATCGAGTTAATTATAACGAAGAGTGGAATACTTTCAAGCAGGTGTTCCACGTACACTTTACGGTAAAATCGCACATCTTTTCCATTCAATGCGAGAGTTTTTGTAAATAAAACTCTATAATTTTACAGATTAACATTACTTTGTTATTTTCGCTTTGTGATCAGTACTCTTCGAGGGTTTACTTATTACGTTCTCTTATTATATCTCTTCCCCCCTTTTTTTTGTTATAGAGAATATCATCGTGTGATCGGGCGAATCTTTTAGATGATTTATTTAGCTTAGCTGATGCTGGAGAGCTCGATTATGACATTGTGATGAATATAATAAACGATTATCTCACCGAGGAGTATCAGACTCTTCCATGGGCAGTTGCAAAATCGAAATTGATGACGATGTATACTCTTTTATCTTCGAATGGCTCAGAGGTCTCTTCGCTGTTTCAGGTAATACATCAATCTGATCTTTACAAATTACTTTCTGATGCTATCGCGAAAGTCATTTATAATATATAATGTATTCTAGAGGTTTATTCAACGTATGGTAGAAGAAATGTATTACGCAGTAACTTGGTCCGTTAATGATGCCGACGAAGACGTCGATGTACCGTCCACGCGCTTTGACAAGAGAGTACGACCGATAATAATCGAATTGGCCTGTGCAGTCGGTGTATCTGGATGCCTTGAAAAAGCCGGAGAACTCTTCAACGATTGGCTGACACACGAGAAACCGCAACATCCTGACATTCGTGAATTGGTCTATTACTACGGTTAGTCTGTCCAATGTAATCATCGATCTCCATGTCATTCGAGAATTTCTAACGGGATGCAAAATCTTTCGTTAGGTATGCGCCATCTTTCGAATACGGACCAATGGAGTCACATGTTCGATCTATTTACACACGAGACCAATCCTAGCGAGAAAAATAAGCTAATGACAGGATTGGCAGGCATACATTCCACTGAGGCTCTAAAATTGTTAGTATTAAGTCCACTGTCGACAGCTTTTTAAATAGGTTCTTTTATTCAGAATGAAAGAGTGGCACGTACTTCTCTTCTTTCTTTTAGGTACATTAATCAAGCGATTGATGAGAACAATGTCCGCGCTCAAGATTTCTTGAAGTGCTTGACTGTAATTTCGAAAAATCCCGACGGTACGTCGGTAGTCTGGGACTGGGTGCGCGACAACTGGGAATTCCTGGTGAACAGATACACACTGAATGATCGATATCTCGGCGAACTTATACCGTCTATTACAAGTTCCTTTGGCACGCAAACTAAGCTGGACGAGATAAAAGCTTTCTTTGAAAAGTATCCCGAAGCCGGCGCTGGTGCGGAGAGTCGGGCCAAAACTCTCGAGACAGTCACGAAAAATATCAAATGGGTGGCTACAAATGATATAAAGATTCGTAATTGGTTCTACAAAAACCTGCCGCCCAGAGACTAAACGTACCAACAAGAATATCTTTACAAGATAGCCAAAAGAGAAGACGGACTCTCTTAATGCACATCGATTTTTAACAGTTATACAGAAAAACAATTTATTTCTTTTAAATCTTGGTGCGCCTCTCAAATTTTTGCTGGAAATCATTGGAAGCGTGAAGGTAATTAATTGTAATTTGGTATAGAACATTTTGGCCACCTACGATAAGGGAATCGTATTAATATGCTGAATTAATATTGTGATTAAATCTTCTGTGTAATTACTGCGAGAGCGTCGTTGTTACACACTAAATACAAAAGTACCAATTTGCATTTTGCGCGAAACATAGGCCTTTTATGCAACGCATTTACAAATCTTGATACTGATATCTTTAAATACAACTTTATAGAAATAATTTTGTAATTAAATATAGCATGTTTATATCGTTCACTGGTGATTCTTTTCCCCGGCTGTGAATGTTGGATTGTCGGATACATAAAACTTGTAAGACGTATATGAAAATTTGTGAAGGTCGGATCTATTTTGAGATCGATCGTATTTCTATTTCTGTTATAATTGGTTTAATATACTCTCGATTGGCCAGTTATGGTCAATGAGATAATCTGCAGGAATGATAAAAGTCTTTTAGTTCATCGTGATACAGTGCACAAACTCGTTTCCTGACATTACGTGCACGACATAACATACCTCTTGCCAGAATATCTTTTTTATAAAAATAGGTAGACAGATCCGTTTCTTAAATGCAGATTTATTTGTAAATTTATTGGTGCGCAATGAAATGTAGTTAGGATCGCACGCGGGATCAATTGCTTTATCCACGAGGAATAGAATAATCCGTCTCGTCATTTCATGATAGGAGTCGAAAATATTGCGCGCGGAAAACTGTCGACGGCATTTCGCGATACGACTGATATCAGTCGGCCGTGAAAACATTTTTGTGAAATACAAGAGGGCTTATCGAAAAATGCACCGTGTAGAGCTACACGTGAATTGTTTGCCGTTCTATTTGCGCTATCGAGGATTATTTGCATTATTCGAATAGAACTCTAGTGGAGAAAAGCACGATGCGCAATTCCGAGACATAAAGCAGATTTCAAACTGCCGCACATCGGTTTAGCGTTACGTAAACAGAGGGACCCTTGCAACAATATGACATTTCGACAAATGCTGGTTAAGCAACTAATCAAATACGCAGCAGCTCTGTAGCGTCAATGCAAATAATACGAGCGCTTTTAACCAAAGTAATATCGCGGAAAACTGTTTTTATATAACAGGCACGCGCGCACACGTTCTTTTACAATGTATCATCGTTATTTCGTTATAAAGTTACACATTTTTTTCCATATTGTATGTACTTGTATAATATTGATTTGAATTTTATGTGTATTTACATGGAAAGGTACGTCTTGAAGATATCTTTTATTTAACCGGCATAAAATATCAATCACTTTTAAACAATTCTGGATGATGCATTATTTTCTGACAATATTTTATCGAATCAATTCAATATTCGACTACAAGGCTTGAATTATTTAATTACTTATTCAACTACAAACTGTCTCGTATCTCCTACAATTCTTTGTACCGTAGAAAGATACTGAAAACGTAATGGCTCGTCTATGAGCACCAATTAGTTCACAGAACGACGGCTCATAAAATAACACGAAAGTTGAAATTGGAAGCGAGGTAAAGCCGCCTAAATCACCAGTTAAGAAGTATAGCTAATTAGTTAATTTCATTCTCTTGCCCAATGAGAATATCAGCTTGTAATATCACTTTCGAAAAATAATCTGATTCCTCCCTTTTCGAAAAGTGTACTTGTATTATTTTAAGTAAACTCGCGGAAATAAGAAAAGTTTCTACGATCATCTACGAAACAGTCATTCATTGGGGCCCCTCAATTTACTCGGATGACAAAATTTAGTCGAACAATAATAAATTCGCAACTTCAGTGTTTTCTTCGCCATATCTGGCATTTTTAATAATACAGAAAATTTATTGCGAAAAATATTACCTCAGCCAGGGTTTGAACCTGGGCTTCCCTACCCTCTAGGCGGGCGTTTCACCAATTCGACCACTGAGACATGTCATATTTTCTGTAATTTTTCTATATTATTAAAAATGCCAGACATGGTCAAGAAAACACTGAAGTTGTTAATTACTACTGGCGACATTGAAGTATATTCTTATTAACGTCATGAGTGTTTTCTTGACCATACCTGACATTTTTTTAATAATACGAAAAATTTATTGCGAAAAATATTTTTATTTATTATAATATGCCTCGGTGGTCGAATTGGTGAGACGCCCGTCTAGAGCGTAGAGAGGTCCAGGTTCAAACCCTGGCTAAGATAATATTTTTTGCAATAAATTTTCTGTAGTTCTATTCAACGGAAAAGTGCACGTGCAAAAACTGCGAGATTTTATGTTACGGAAATGGAAAAGGTAACATTTCTCTGTATAGAATAATTATTTATTGCAAAAGAGTACTTATATTATTCGGTATCACTCAATTTGTAAATTATTTAAGTGAAATTTCACAATTAGGAAAATTTAAATTTCATTTTTTAATTGATGGTGTGTCTTTAACACAAAAAGTTAAGAATATTTGTTTAAATTCCGGCGTGCATAGCTTATACAATTTCTCCATTTGCCGTATTTTGTCGATCGTTAATAGAGGTTTCGCTGTCATTTCCGCTCAATAAAAATGTGCCAGTTTGTTATTGTGCTCGATTGGCGCCCGTCTTGTGCAAGAAAAGGATCTGTCTTTTATTGGAACAAATGTCACATTTACTCTAAATGATCACGTAAAATTGTCTGCCGTTTGTCCCGCATAGACCATTGGTAGCAGAATCTCTGGTGAATTTAGAATCGATTTCTTCTTCACGGAAATGCCGGGAATAGTCTTTAAGCTATAAGCAGCTAATGAAAACGAAGGGCAGGTAAAACGAGAGTAAAATTGCGGAAATGTAAAAAAATAATAATTTTTTCTTATAGCTTTTAATGGGTTCTTTTCTCTAATAGAGTATTAGTAAAAGATTTAGGTAAAAATATTTAATACTGAAGAGAGAGGTCGAAGAGTTATATTAACGTCTATAACATTAATTATCGATAGATGGAGGATGTTCCGTATACTTTTATTCAACGACTTGTTTACTGAAACAGATGCAAGCCAACTTGATAGTTTTCCTACGGGTGCACATGTGTTGCTGGATTATCATTTGGTGTGCTGCGCAATGAATCATACGACGATTAAACGTTTACTGGCAAACCTCAGCGTAAACAGCAAATCCGATCGAATCTTTTTACGCTGTAGCTGACAAAAATTGGTATATCATATATTTACAATATTTTCAGCTAAGCCATTACAAACACAATACTGATAAAATTAATGCATGTAAAAGGTATATTACTATTCGGTTATTTTTACACCGAGTCGATTGGTTTTCTTAGTGATAGCGTTTCAAAAACATCAAGATTTAATTTATCACTGAGAAAAATTTTCATCGGGTAAACAAATTAAATAGTGTTTTCGATGGCTAATTTTTCCGATTGCGCTTTTCAATTAAATTATGGATACATCCGATGAAATTTATCCGATAAAATGTGATTGAAAAACCGATCACATTTTCATCAACACATGCCTGTTATATTACATTTGTATTGATGTTATGTAATTGTTACTTTGGTGTTTGCTGGGTACAATTTAATTGGATATATCCACATAATTATTATTATATAATTCGATTACCTATCCGATTATATTTAATCGGGCATTTTTCTCAGTGTACGAAATTGTTTCTCAAATAATTAAGTTTATTTACAGATTACTTGTAAATTAATTTTTTCGCGAGATCCTTTTTCCCATGCTTACGCTAACTCGAGGGGAAACGTGTAATTTTATGCAATATCACATGAAGAGGCTCTAAAAAATTTTTACAAAATTACACAAGTACATTCTAAGGTAACGTTATCTCGATTAATTCATATATCCAGACAGAATCGAGCTATAGCGAGTTAAAAATAGTGTGCTGGTGTGTAATTTGACAGCTATTGAGTGCGCTTATCTCCTTTTTCTTATTGACGTCGCAGCTACGTTCGCGGTGCCCTTCAAACGCATTCGTATCGTTTGTGCGTCAGTTGTGGTCATAAACGGGACTCCACGGGGGCTAGAAAGATTGTGGCAATTCGCAAGAAAAATGACGACAAGAAGAATGTCGCTCAAGCAATTAATATCAACTGTATTCTCTTCTCTGCGTTCCACGAACGAATTTCAAATCATCAAGAGAAATCTCACAAAGATTCTCTGCTCTCGCCCTCTCATCCCGCTCGTAGATTGAATGAAACTATTGTTTCGATTAATCTCGCCATATTCAGTTTACAGTCTCGAGACTTAGTAGCTTCATTGCTGATGTGCTCTGTCTGACGTACCGATCTTTTATTTCAGGTTCGCGAATGTATTTGCGGTTTTCCGACGTCGTCGTCCTCTGCAAACGCGCACGGAAGTAAGCAGTTTCGCTAATTTTCCAGTCGAATCGCGATTATTTGGTCTCCACCCCGTGGATTCCGCTCGACTTACTCTCGGTTCTCTCTCCGTACCAAAAGTCAATGACATCATTAACAACATTCTCCCCAAGTCATCACGTCAACAATCGCTGCAATACTGACCCGCGCTTTTTGATAAGATCAAACAGTTCGACGAACAATTGATAAGACAGGACATGTCAACGAACACGCTGATGCAGTCCAACAACCGGATGCTCTCACGATTCGACCAATGGTCCTTGAAGCTCAATTCGGTGGCCGTAAAAAGAGGACGAGTCGCCGCTTATCTTCAGAGAATCCCACGGGACTCTCTTCGTTGATGGTTATTATCTCGAAACGGTTTGACAGTCTCTATCCGTGCAGGATTATATGATCGACACGATAATAGTCTCTTTATTGTTTTGAAATATATAGTCGAAGCTGTGCGTGGATACTTCTTCTGTTTGAAATTGCGAAAAAAGTATGAAGAATTCGCGCTGAAAGAAAAAAATTGAAAATTATTAGGATTCAATCCTGCGCAAAATGCAATATTTCGCAATAGAAACGGATAATTAAGTAGAGCAGGCTTCGTGGGAAATTTCTTTTCCCTCCTCGAGTCCCGCTTTCGAGCCCCTCTTTCGAGTAACTTGGAGTTTCTTAATTGTAGCGCCCTAAGAAATGCATAACTTCTCTACGTAAAAAAAAAAGAAAGAAACATAATAATGTTTCGATATAAAGCTTCGCGTCGCTCTCGGGGGGGTGCAATTTGCTCGGAGCTACGCAAAAAAATATCTCACGGTCCACTCAACGGAACTTCGATCAAACTTCGCTAATAAGAAGATGAAAGAAACATTACACGCGCCGCGCGTTGTTATATCGACGCGCTACAATCGCGGAAAAGAACG